AAATATGAAACACAATTACAATTAAATTGAAATACATACAAGTATTAAATAAATAAAACGACTTACTTTACTAATTAGTAATATACTCACCGTAAGATGCAAAGCCAAGGAGCTAGGCTGATAATGATGAGTAGGGAGTCTGAACGAAGGAGACAAACAAACGAGTGATATTGTAATACCGTCCCATTTAGTCTCCAGAAAAAGCTGGGACAAATGTCGGTGTCCCAGTCACAACTAGCTCAGGTCGCCTGTCTCACAGAGTGACGTATCGGACATGTCTCAGTGCCCAATCCTCCGTATGCTTCCCATGCCTATCCAGCTTATGAAGCTCTACATATGTGTCTATAAGCCGTGGAATGACCTGCTCAAACCCAAACTGTCGCAAGACTCGATCAGGCAAATGAAGCTCAACAATGTCAAAACATATCAACGGCACACGTGCTCGCCATATGTGACTATGCTCTCGTCCAGTTGGGGGCAACTCTGTAAACATCTCAGCTGTATACGACATCCATGTAATCTGTTTCATAAAGATACAAAATTAGTATTTATGCTATACAAATTATAGTTAATGTTATATTACCCACACCATACCTGATCCTCAGACATCCGATCAAATGCATCCCTGTACACACCGAGCCCAGTAGCAGATGACATGCGACATAGACCAGCAAATAACCATCAAACCATTCATGTAACCGTTTCATTAATATGGATATTATTAATATATTTACTTTCAACATACAATAACATAAATAATATCAACGATTGAAAACATATTGACGACCCAGAGAGTCCTCACCCCGTACATGATGTGGTCCCAGATGACGTGCAGGCTCATCAGGCAGTGGGTGTCCATCAATGCCATGATATGCGACTACAATGGGACGCCCAATGTGGATATACTCCCATGACCAAATCTGGAGGAGTAGCAAAAATCTTCCAAGCTCTGTGCTCCCTCTATGGCAGCTGCGACACAACTGTCTGTAGAGATAAGCCAGCGTGGCACTACCCCAGCTGAACTGTGCTCCCTCAACCATGACATCCTCAGAGATGACCCCTGAAGATCAGTCCGAACAACGGGTCGGACACCAAACAACCGCTCACACTCATCTACCCACTGTCGACAAGCAGTGCCTGTAACAGCTCTCCCATCAACCTGTAACCCAGTCAGTATAGCAACATCTCCCAAGGTCACTGTCACCTCACTAACAGGGAGGTGAAATGTGTGTGTCTCCTGCCTCCAACACTCAAGAAGAGCAGTGAGTAGCGCTCTATCGAGGGGGACAGTAGCCTTCAATCTGTGCAGACCATAAAAACCCGCAGCACGAACATAATGAAGTACTCTGTCGTCCGCGTGCATATGCGACAAACCCCGCAGGTGCTCGTGGCACCTATCAACCTGAACATCGAGGCCAAGCCAAACATCCTCACTCCTGTGCGAGGCCTGCAATGTCAGGACATAAAGATCACTTGGCCCAGAATCCGTTGTCACCTCCATGTCTACAAACAAACAAAATTGTATTAGTTAATTTTTACTATTATATTAATTCTTTTTTTTAATCATTCATTTTATTAATTAATATGTTTTCATGCAACGCTAAGATGAATTGTGAATTACTATAATTAAAACCTTACCCACTGGACCCCCCATCGTGTCTTGACGATCTCTTCGCACATGTGGCCCTATTATGGCCGGTTTGGTGGCATTTTCCACATCTAACCGTTCCTCGGGGACCTTCATCCATCTCATTCTTAATACGTGTGGACTTAGGTCTTCCCTTAACCCGAAGCATGGATGGATCGTGCACGATTTCAGGTCCAGTGTAAGTAGGCCAATAATCACGATCAGGAATGGGTTTGAAGACTCTATGATATGTGGCGGCGTATTGGTCAGATGAGAAAAACTTATCCACAAATGGATCATAAGACAAGCTACGTTGTCTGCACACGGCTAACACATGGGAGCATGGAATCTTATATATCTCCATCTTTTTACAAGTGCAAGTTTTCCGTTTCAAATGGACAGTTTGTTTTCTCCCACCCTTCCCCAACGTTCGGCCACCACAACCGGTTTCCACTTGACATATCCTTCGGCCTAAATCAAATGGAGTAACTGTGTGATGCTTCACCTTCTCTCGATTCTTATCAATTAAATATATGATGTGTGGGAAGTACTCGTGGCCTTCTATCACTCTCATTTTACTGGTTTCACGCCTATTAACAAAATAAGCATTAACCCGGTAAAAGGAAACCTGGACCAAAGCGGTGATGGGCAAATATCTGGCATTTTTCATAACGCTATTGAAAACCTCTGTCAGATTAGAAGTGATGGTACCATATTTTTACCCGCCATCGTGGTGAAATGACCACATTTCCGGGGGGATATTCCCCAGAAATTGTCGTGCCTCCAATCTCATTTCACCTATCTTCTTAAACCCACCGTCAAACTTCTTTTTCTGATGTTGTCGTGCGGTCCAGACAAAAAGATTTTTTAGATGAATGTCTTTGAAATGAGTGTGCACATTCGATGCAAGATGGCGGATACATAGCCTATGATGCGCATCAGACTCCTCTCAAGTACTGCACACCTCATTCATTGCCCTGACAATACCTCCATGCCAATCAGATATGACACACAACTCCCTATTAGTGACAAACTGCCTAATACATGCCATAAACCATGGCTAACTATCCCCATTCTCAGATTCAACAACTGCAAAGGCCACTGGAAATATTTGGTTGTTCGCATCACAACCCATGACCACAAGCAATATACCCTTGTACTTTCCATACAAATGTGTGTCATCAATAGTAAGTACGGGTCGACAATGCTTAAAACCATGTATTGATGTCTTGAATGCCCAAAAAATTCTTTGAAACTGCATATAACCTATGCGAGTATTAGGGGGTGGGTACCACTGCATAATAGTTCCAGGATTTGAATGTTGGAGCGCTGTCTGAAACGGGGCAATTCAGAATATGACTTCTCCCAACCGCCAAATATTTCTGCTATGGTCTTTTGCTTCCCTATCCATGTTCTTCGGTATGATACCGTATACCCATACTTTTCCTTCAGCATCTCAATGATAGTATGCACTTTAAGGGAAGGATCAGTGCGAACAATGTCAATCACATCTTTAGAGATGAAATCTGAAGTCAAAGCCACGTGATCGGTAGGGTCGGTGTTGCCAACACACGTAGCAGAATGAGGTCCAGGATAACGCACAATTGTGAAGGTGTCAAAGTTGCCTTTGTTCTTTGTGGCACGTATTCTCCAGGGGCAATTACATTTTTTCTTCCTTTTGCATTGTGCCACCCATTTGTGTTTATCGGGCTCTATCACCCGATAAAATTGGTCCCGTTTGATAGAATACAAGCTCACCATATTGATGACTTGTTCTTTGTTGTCAAACTGTTGACCGACCTCAAACTCACCTTCGGGGGTAAACCTTTTCTCACCTGATCCACTCATCCAGGCATCAGTAAAGCCTTCAGGGAGATCATACATTCTAGTAAAGTGGCTAGACAGGGCAGTTGCCGTGACCGTATCATCATCACTTCCCTGCCCATCCACAAATGATGCACCGTTGTGCAAATACCTACCATTTGAGTAGTTTTCTGTACATGAGCATTTGTGGAGTTTCCTGCATTGACATCATGCCTAGAATCAACAACATTTGATGTTGATGGAGTACCATAAACGTCACATATGGATTCCTCAATGTATATCTCCAACGTGGACATGTCCTCCATCTGAACTATGCCCCCACATATTTGTTATAGCTAGCTCATCAATGAGGGGCATAAGCATGTACTTTCCCCCGTTTATGGGAAATTTCATTTTCAAACGAAAAGAACGGCTAGGATGAGTCATTGTGGCTGCATGTATTTTTTGAAGGATCTCGAGCATGCAAGCGCCACGAGAAACCATGACAAAGCTGGTTCTACCACCTTCATGACATATTTGCCCAGCATCCTCATAATAGTTCCCTCCCCAATGACACACGATTGAGAAACTTGAGAAATCCTTATTCTAATAACAATTCATTGTCCAACTTTTATGAGTAGGCATCAATATACACACATTCAAATTTTCAATAGAAATAACTACCAAAATTCTAATATATCCAAAAGACAAAATTCACAAACAGTTCACATTTCAATATGAAAATATCCAAATTTTGATATCTACATTCAAGTTTACATTTCAATACCCAAATTTAGCTACATTCAAATCTACCCAAATGTCAAATACACATTAAAATTTACAATCAATTTAAAATCAAATTTCAACATTTCATACATATCCACATTTCACAACAACTGAATTCACAATCAATTCATAATCTAAAAATTCGAAAATTTTAACATTCAAAACCCTAAGTTTAAAATGAGATGAAATGGAGTTTGATTTACCTAGAAGAAAGAGTGTTGAAGGTTAAGATAGAGGTTTGCCGGAGTGGAGTCGCCGGAGATGGAGGTTCGCCGGAGTTGGAAATGGCTCGGTCGTCGTTCCTTCTTGCGGCCGTCGTCGCTGCGGCTTGGGGGGATTGGGTTTACGCAGCGTTCTGTTTTGTGGCTGACTGATATTTTTACTTAAGGGAAAGTCGCCCAACCGTTGGGCGACTTACCCCGACCATGGTTAACCCAACAGTATATTGGTAAATACTTTTAACTCAACCTTATTTTCGTAATTATTTAATTAACATTAATACGGAAAAAAAACTCGTCTATTGAGATGGAGTAGTTATTTCTAGTTTAATATTAACAAATGGAGATAATTTAGTAAAATAAAAAGCAAGCCTTCCATTCCATCTAAATCCCACAACCAAACAAGCCCCAAGAGTCCTATTTTTTGTACTAATTTTGTGAGGGAAAGAACATATTAATTTTGTCTTAATCAACAACCTCCCATTATACACTCATTTAGAGCTTTAGAGTGACATTTTTTCATGAAAAAAGTTGTTGCTGTAATGTATCGTGGTATACTTACCCAGACTAAGGAATGTTGAAGCAGCCATTGAAGCAGGTATCAAGGGCCTTCAGTTCAAGAATGCAGATGTTTTGCGCAAAGACCTGTTACTTCTGGGTGTTGACATTCCAACCGGTGAAAGTAGTTAAGATCTGGCTCAGTGTTCTTAGGCCTGCCGCTTTCGCTCACCCGAAAACAGGGGCATATCGTATGCATACTCTTTTGCCACATAACGAGAAAAGTGCATCTTCTTTTGAATGAGCTGTTTGGAGGTATGTAGAGAGGAGGCAAGAAGAGTTTAACGTCGAGCTGTTCATGTTTCTGCAAAACTTATCATCATAAGAAGAGATAAAAATTGTATCTGGTTATATGTGTTCATGTGTAAGTTTTTTTAATAGGCTCAGTGTTTTTATTTAATAAAAGATCCATACATCAAACATGTAGTCATAGTTCCATATTACTTCCATATTAGACCCTAACAAGTCTTGTTTCATTTAAAAAATCCATTTACAACTAAGGTATAGTTTCTATTAAGCGCACTCACTTTCATTAAAAAAAATCAGTCTTATGCCCAAAGAAGTTTCCTTACTCTTGCACAAAGAAGTCGACAAAGAAGCATATTGTACCCATAGAAAAAAATAGAAAAAAGATACAAGTAATGGCGGCAAAAGACGATGAAGAAGAGGAAGAATTTAAGGATTTAATGTTGATGATGGAAGTCGGTCTTGATCAGCACGAAGTTGGGCCAAACATTGTTTGCGATCGATCTGGGACGAGTTTTCTGGTCCCGTTCTAGGTTAGGTTAGAAATCAAATAGATACAGATCGAACTAATTTTTTTTCCAATTTTTTAACACAAAGATATATTCATGTAACAATCTTTTAAATACTCTAACTAAAACTATCTCCACACACAATTAAAATTTTGAATAGAACTCATAATGTTTTTTTTTACTTAAACATATCTTGAAAGTTAATTATTTTTAAATCGTTAAACTATATTATAAAATGAAGTATTTTGAATTTTTCTACTAATCAACTGTAAGTGTTTTCTAAAATCGCAACTGTATATTTCCGACGGTCGATTGCTAAACTATAACTTCGCGGAAACCAAAACCTGATACGGTTTAATATAAAAGTTCTGGTTTACTTTTCGGTTTTGGTTTTTTTGTGTCGACATTGTGTATTCAACTATTTCGGTGGAAAAAATTGACAAGAATAAGTTTAATACCACCATCAATAAGTTTTTTCTCCTTTCTTCATTATCGTATTTTTCTAAGTAAATCCACCCATTGGTTTCATCAATTGTGGGAATAACTCTATGTGATAAAATGATTATGAAAATATAAAACATTTAAGAAGTGTAAAGAAAAACAAAACATTCAGGAAAATGTAATTTTTTCTTTCTTTTATTATTGTGAATGTTTTATTTTTCTTTTAGTTTAATTTTTCTCTAATCCTTTTTTCACATAGATATTTTCACATAGTGTATGAAATTAATGGGTGGACTTACTTAGAAAATACGATAATGTATAAATGAGAAAAAATATATGAAAAAATGACCGAAATAATACTGATAGCTTTCCAATTGACAAAAATATGATTCTTTTTAAATTTGGACTAAAACGGGAGCAATTATTAATTAGCAGACCTAAATGCCCCTAGTTCATTCTCTATTCGACTATTCCCTTCTTTCGCTCTCTGCTTCTCACGCTTCCTATTGCCGGTCATCTCCTTCTCCAAGTCGATCGCACTCAAGCAGCAACACCCACCACCGCAGCCGCTCAACAAACATTTCACCATTGCAGCCGCTCCGTTGTTTCGAGATTCTTCTTCTTCTCGCTGAATCGAGACAAGTGACAATCTTAATCTGAGACAACAGCGATTTCAGAAATCGTTAGCGACAACAAACCATCCAGATTTGGCGAAAATGAGCTTCATGTATCAACAACCAAGCAGCTCGGATTCGGATCACTGGAACATTTCAAAATTTGAAATATCGGCATATAGCTTTCTGTAAAAGAGGAAGTATTATCACAAAGGTCGCCGGTGTCAGTCCCGCCACCTTCTCCCGGCTCTCACCACCGATGTTACGAGCTGCATCATAGATGCCGCGATTGCTCCCTACTTATTTCAATCGGGTATGTTTTCCCCTTGTTCTTTACCTTACTTATTTACAGTAGTACTTTTAAGAGAATATATACATCTGTAAAGCATGTTTTCAGTACTTCGTTTAATTTTGCTACATGATCTAATTAATACTGGGTATTAGTATTTCGAATCAAATGATTTAGGTTAGGAATTTGCTAATTTTGAATCCTGTTTTTTATATAAAAAAAAATTGATTATTGAGAGACAGATTTTGGTGGACTGGGTTAACATGATTAAGGTGCATTACTGCTTATTCTCCGTTTTTTTGTTGAATAGTTTTAGTCATGACTCATGAATATAGCCTGGTCTTTTGACTTTTGATGTAGAGAGTATAGGATTTAGCTTAAATTTATATTCTTGTTTAGTTTAACTTATTTTATTAAATACTCTGTAAGTCTGCATCTTTTTGCTTATTTGTTGCAGGTAAAGGTTCGACATTGATGTAAAGAAGTTGACATATTCCATCTCTGAATTTAACAATACCAGTAGACTTTAGTTTCATCTTTCCATGCACGGTGAATATGTGTACATGATTTTGTTACCGAGTATTTAGTTTAAAGGTTTTACTTTTATTGATGTACTATAATTTTTATTTGTTGTGAATGTTACTAGAGAGTTGAGCATTATGTTGATGTAATAATTGTTGATCTTGTTCAAAATTCAAAATGAATGAGTTTATACTAGGTCACTAGGGGTTAGGTCACTTTGGCTGATGTGTCACTGAGGCGATGGTCACTGTGGCGTTGGTCACTGAGCAATGATCATTGTGGCGTTGGTCACTAGCACGGTGGTCACTTTGGCGTTGGTCTCTATGACGTTGGTCACTGGCGTAGTGCTCACTGTGTCCTTAGTCTCTACTATGACGCTGGTCACTAAGGCATTGGTCACTGGGCGATGCTCACTTTGGTGTTGATCACTGATGTGGTGGTCACTGGGTGGTGGTCACTGTGACATTGCTCACTGGATGACTGTCACTGTGCGACAGGTCACTATGGGTGGTAATGTCAGTAGTGGGAATTCACTATGATGGGCAATAAAGTTGATCACAATGACTAGCAGTAGTTACTGTTTGAAGGGGTGGACTTGGGCCGGTTCGGGCCTGGGCCCGACCGGGCCTCGGTTCATGAAAGGGGAGGCCCGGAACCGGCCCGGGTAACCCCTGGGTCCGGTTCGGGCCGGGCCGGGCCGGACCTCGGTTCAATTTTTTTTTTGGCTTTTCCTAATTAACCCCCAACCCTCCCCCTCACCCCCAAAACACCCCAAACCACCTCAAATGGCCCAAAATACCCAGCCCAACCCAAAAACTTAAAAAAATTCATAAAAAGAAGAAATAAATAAATAAATTGGCCCGAACCAGGCCCGAACCGGCCGGCCCGGTTTACCTTTTGAGGGGCCCGAGCCCGGACCGGAACCCCAGCGGGTCGGACCTACCCGGACCGGTCCCTGGCCGGGCCGGCGATTCGGCCGGTTCAAATAGTGACCGGTGCGGGCCGGTTTCGGGGCGGCCCGCCCGGCCCGAGTCCACCCCTAACTGTTTGGGTTTTCAATGGGTGGTGGTCACTAATGAATTTTTTATCACTAATGATTTTAATCACTAATGATTTTGGTCACTAATGAATTTTTGTTTTTTGTCACTATAGCGATGGCCAATAGAATGGTAGTAAGTGAGATTATGATCAATGAAGTGGTAGTAACTGCATTGAAATGGTCACTAGAGTGATAGTAAGTGGGATTTTAGTAATTAGGATGTTGGTCACTGGAGTGAAAGTAACTATATGATAATCACTGAAGAGATAGTAACCGGGGTGATAGACTACTGGTAGTAACTGGAGCAATATTAATTGAGACGATGATCACTTAAACAATACTAATGAAGACTTTTTTTCACACAAATTTTAGTTTAATAGATTAAATATTTAATGCAATTGTTTTTCCATATCCAACTATCTTCAAAAATAATTTCAAAATAAAAAAAGAAGCATTAATGGGTCTTTACAAAAATTAAAAAGAAGAATTAATGGTTAGAGATGATTAAAAAACGAAGTACTAGTATATTATAGGCTAAAGGGTCAAATAGACACTTGAACTGACTTAAAATGTTCAATTAGTCTCTTAAGAGGTTCTGTCTGTCCGTCGCCAATTGGGGCGGTTTCCAGTGAAATTTTTTTATGAAATTTTTTTAGCATCTTCTTTATTAAGTCTAGTTTATTTATAACAAATTTCAGCTAAAAAATCAACCGGGAAGGCAGTCAAATGATTATTTGAAGATAACTGCGAAGTTAAATAGCGCAGTACATTTCGGAAAATCATTTGACTGCCTTCTCGGTTGAATTTTTAGCTGAAATTTGGTATGAGTAAACTAGACTTAATGAAAAAGAGGCTTAAAAAATTTCATAAAAAAATTCCATCAAGAACCGCCCCAATTAGCGATGGCCGGGCAAAACCTCCTATATAAGGGGCTAATTGAACACTTTAAGTGAGTTCAAAGGCCTATTTGACACTTTAGCCTATATTATATGAGAAATAATTTTAAAATAAAAGAAGAAGCATTAATGGTCGTTAGAGAATGCAGACATCCAATACACTCTTATCCGATGCAATGTTAGGGAGCAATGGTATGCTATGGAATGTTACGGAGTACTCTTATGAGAGCCATTGCCCGGCCGAACACTAGAAATGGTAATTTAGTAAAGTAGGTCTTCATTAGTCACATATTTGGAAACTTAAAAAAATGTCTCTTTTTTGTCAAATTCCTAAATTTTACTAATAGTCATGTCAAAACCTCAAAATATATTGATGATGGAATTAAGATAACAAGATGAAAGAAGAAGAAAATGACAAGACGAAAAAAGTGGAAATAAAAAGAAAACATAACAAAAAAATAAAGTGAGAAAAGGATCTTTAATAAGAAGAGAATGATTGAGAAGAAAAACATAAAAAGGGAAATGAAATGAAAATACGAAAAGAAAAGTAAAACGACAAAAAGAGCTATTTTGAAGAGAAATTTTACAAAAACAAATCTCCTAATAGAGTAAGAAATAGAATAATAAAAAGGAAAAGAAATAAGAAAAAAGGATAGAAAAAGGAATAAAAGTGTGTAGGGATGAAAATAAAGAAAAAAAATTCTAGGGAGAAAAAATACAAAATAAAAAATGGGACCGTTTTGAGCAGATTTGTGAAAGGTGGGATTATTTATATAAGGTTTCCAAAGAAAGGGTAAAAGACCTGGTATAACAGGTCACCAACAGGTCAGGGTCCAACGAAACAAGATTGGGTGCAAATGTGAGATTATTCCGGGATTCCGTAAAGGTGAGATTATTATGAGAAAGTCGGTGAAAGGTTGGATTATTCTTGTCAAATTTTCCTAGTATTTTGGTT